ACAGCTCCTCCTGGCCAAGTTTGCTCCCTTCTTCTGCTCTGTGAGGTGGCCCTTGCTGAAGGCCTGCCCAGTGCTTGTCCATATTCCCTTTTATGTCCCTGATCTACTGCAAACATGTTTGAACTCCTTTGCCTCCAACTCAGTGCCTGTTTCAAAGAATGTCAATATCTTACGCAGTCCTTTGGCTGAACCTGACATGGCATTTGTTCCTTTGACCGCCCCCCCTTTCTTAGGAGGACAGGGAGTGTATCTGGATGGCAACTCATGTACACACCAACAGTCTTCATGGCCAGGCTAGGGATTATAACCCCGTTGGTGCTGTGGCAATTCCAGCCATCCACTCCAATCATCATGCAGTTCAGATGGGTTCCCAGATGGCTACATGACACAGGCTGGAATGGAAAAGGTGCCTTTAAGGCAGGCAATTATGACAAAAATCAAAGAGATTACTCAACAAGCTGCTTACCTGAAACCATGACCCAATACACTGCTCTGACCCCTGACCCCTGACACCCATGATGGGAGATCCTATCTCCACCTTCATTTTATCTCTCTGCCAGTACCTGCATTAGGAAAAAACTTCAACTATTAGAGGAATGCCCCTCATACCCCTCAAAGAGACTTTACAAAATAGCCTCTAAGGTCTTTCATAACAGAGAGGAGAATCTTAAACTCAAACACTCAAAAGAGATCAAGCAGAATGCCAAATGCTGGCAGCAGCCTTACGCCAGGATCCATTGCAGGGTAGCTCAAATAGGGGAGTGACACCATCCACACTCAGGGCTAGACCACCCAGGGTCACAGAGCAAGGACCTGCTGCAGCCTACAACGCTGCTGGCTCCTGCTCCCCTGAGGGAGAAACAGACAACAGTTCCGGTCAAGTCCCAATCACCAGACTCAAGCTTGGTGAGTTTGCTGGGATGGACAACAGTTGACTGCTGACTAGGCCTGGGGAGGTACTGCTCCCACCGACACCTTCTCTTGATCCAGGGAAATGCTGTCTGTAACTGGTAAGGTTATTTATCTTTTATCTGATAAAAGAGGGAATTGTTTGGTTTTACCAGAATTTTCTTGATCTGTATGGGTCACCCCTTCCTCTATGATGGGGGTGAAAATCATTCCAACCTTACCTAAATGACTGTGTAACCTTTTGGGTCATCCCCTTCCCTGTTCCCAGTTGTCTGATCACTCTCCTGGGACATGACATTCTTATGTTTCCATCACAAAGTCCTTCCAAAGCAATTCCCTTCCTACCTACTACTTTGTTATCAGTTCTTACTGGGTCCCAGGACACCTTCGTAACTCTTCATTCTCCACTCATCCTGTGGCCTGGGATACTGCCTACCACACTCCTGCTACCTTCAACCCTCCATACTGATTAGAGGCCCCCTTTGTTTTTGTTTGTTTTGTTGCATGCCAAGCCCAATACCCTCTTTTCCCTACTGGCCTCAAGGAACTTAAACCTATAATTATCTGAGTCCTTAAAGCCTACATTTTAGAACTTAGGAATTCTCTCCACTGCACGCCTATTCTGGCAGTCTGAAAGCCAGATAGATGGTTCTTATCATCACCTAGTCCAAGACTTGCCTGATTAACCAAATTGAAAATTTCTCTTCCCCTGGTGATCCTCAATCTTTAGACCAATCTATCCCTCATTCCTCCTTCCACCTGTCAGTTCTCTGTCCTGGATTTCACAGACACATTACTCTTTCTCTCCACCTGTTTTTCTGCAGTTATGTAGACAGACCCTGTCACCCAAATGTCCACCAAGCTAACCCTGACAGCCCCTTCCCCAAGGATTCCATAAGATCCTTCATTTCTTTGTTCTGAAAATCTTCTTCATGATCTGCAAAGCCTCAAACTCCTACCTGCACTCTTCTCCAGGGTGTAGAAACATTCTCCTCGGCAGCTCCTCTTATGACCTGTCTCCACAATACATCTCCACCTTCCTTAATTTCCTGGCTGACCAGGGATGCCCAGAGTCTTCTCCAAGGTAGCCTACTTTGGCCTCACCCTACCCCCTTTCTTCCTGTGGCATACTCAAAACTGCAAATCTACAACCCAGGACATACTCCCTCTGTCAGAAAACAAAACAAGACAGCAGCAACAACAAAACTAAATGGGATCTTCTCTCCTTTCTGAGCCTAGTGGGTCAGTTACTTTTTTTATATGGATCTCCCACTTTGGGGTCTTATCCAAACCAATTTATCAAACTGCTTGTAGTACTCCCTCAGAACCTCTGGACCTTTTCCAACCTATCTGACCTGCTCTCTCCAAGCTTAAGGAGACTCTGACTACTTCTACACTCCTTCCAACATTTTGTTCTGTCTGTACACTCCTCTCATAACTTAGCCTTAGGTCTCCTTTGTCAATTTTATGGGGAAACACCCCCAAGTAGTAGCCTGACGGACTAAACACACCTCAATGGCATAGGTTTGGCCCTTTTGCTTAAAGACCCTCAGAGATTCCTGTCTTGATGATGCAAGCCCTCAAACTCATTTTCTAACTCATTATTCATTAGGGTCTCTGCCTGCAACAGTCTCCTTAGGATCATAAGTCACTGCTTTTTTCTTTCCCTTTCACATTATATAGACACATACATTCTTTTATCTCTCCACAGCCCCAATCACCTTTCAAAGATATGAAACTTTTAATCCAACCACCTTCCTTCATGAAGACTTCACAGAGTCAAAGGACTCCAACTCTTACATTGATCTCCTTGACTCTTTTTTTTCTTTTTCTTTCTTTTTTTTTCTTTTTTGGTTTTATGAGACAGGGTTTCTCTATATTGTTTTGGAGGCTGTCGGTCCAGCCTGTCCTCGAACTCACAGAGATCTGCCTACCTCTGCCTCCCGAGTGCTGGGTTCAAAAGTGTGCGCCACCACCGCCCGGCCTCCTTGACTCTTTGCTTCCCACTTTCAGCCATTTGTCATGCGCTCCCATTGCTGAGGCCTCTAATTAGCTCATTGGTGAGAGCCCTTTCTTTATATAATACATTTTTATCAATTCTTTGGGAATTTCACATCATGCACACCAACCCCACTCAACTTCCAGCCCCTCCTTGTCCTCCCTTCACTCCTGTAACATCACCCACCCCAAAATAAAAAACAACGGAAAACAAATTAAAAGAACACCTTGCTGGTGGGAGCTCTTTTTTAAGGATTCGTTTTTTTAGTATTTGTAATTATGTGTAGGTGTGTGTGTCTGCATGTGTGTATGGTATATATACATGTGGGTACAGGTGCCTGTAGAGGCCTGAGGCATTAGGTTCTCCTAGAGATGGAGTTACAGATGGTTATGAGGCACCTCATGTGGGTTCTGGAAACCAAACTCTGGGCCTCTGGAAGAACAGCAAGTGCTCTTAGCAACTGAGGTCCTCTCCAACACCACGGGAGGAGCTGTCTTAAAGAATCCCATCAAGCTTCAGGCTATGACACTGCCGCAGATGATGCTATTAAAATAGTTCTATCTCTACCCTTCCCTTCCCGCCACCTCACAGCAAGCAGTACTCTTTGCTCTTCCCTGGCCCTCACATTAGCAGGAAACCAAAGGCTAAGGCTAACATCTACATCAATTCCAAATATGCACACCACATTCTAATTCTCATGCCGCAATTTCGCAAGAGAGAGAGGCTTTTACACATCACAGAGCACCCCTATCATTGACAACCAAGTCCTTCAGGATGCCTTCCTGCCCCTGACAGCAGCAGTCATCCAATGCACTGGCCTCCAAGGCATTTCTGATCAGATAGCCAAAGGCAACTCTTGAAGCGGACACCCTCAGCAAACAGGTAACACTGGTCTCCGCCTCAAGTACTCCCAGTCCTCTGGAGTCTACTCGCACAGAGCCTGTCTTTTCTTTTATTTGCTTTTGTCTTTCAGGTCCTTGTCCCTTTTCAACCTGTCCACCCCCCCCCGTGTGTGTGTTTGTGTGTGTGTGTGTGTGTGTTGGGAATATCAAGCTATCCTCAAAGATTCTTGAGATTCCCATTGTCCCCTTTCCTGTTCAAGAGTGGGCCCCCCTTTCCACCCTACATGATCACTCCCATGCGGGACATCAACCTCTGCCCACCTTGCTCAAGACTTATCTCCACTCTACACCTTGCCCCACCACGCCCCCTTCCTCCCTCGCCAAGGCCCAGGACATTTCCTGGGACAGAAGTAGCAGATAGACTTCACTCACCATGTTGCCTTCTTGGTGACAGCAACTTTCCCCAGTAAGTCTAAGAGGACACAAGAGGTTGCTCAGATCCTTCAAATCACTCCTTGCCTTGGCCTGCCTTCATCTCTGCTATCTGATGATGGAGCCATTTTTTATTTCTATGAAACACTTGGCTCCCTCCTTTGGCACCAGATACTCTTTTCATGTTCTCTATAGACCTCAGTCCTCAGGAAAGGTGAGCCTCGGCAATGTTCTTCTCAAATAACACTTAGCTCGTGATTGTGGTCAAACTGTCCTGACAGCTCCTCTACCTGTTTTTCTCCTTCATTTTCAACTTCTCCCCCAGAAAAGTCCCTTAACCCCAGCCGCTTGGGATTCCAGTACTGCGGGCCTACCACTACCTTCTCTCCAGCACCTCATTCGCCTTTCTGGATGTGAACTGCTTTACGTCTAACCAACCACATTCTGCAGGCATTTGCCTCACAAATACGTTCCTGAACTCCCATCCATCCTGAGTCTTCTGGTCAGGGACCTCACCAGGTAATTGTGACCACCAACGGCAGCATAGGTCGAGGCCATCTCTCACTGGCTACACCACTCTGAGCTAGAAAGAGCTCTAGGTCCTAACTTTAAAACTCTTAGTCCTTCTGGTGACCTTCCCCCTATTTATTTATACCTCTTCTCTCATAGGTCTGACCTCTCAACACCTGCACGGCCTGGAGCCGTGGGGACTTACCAGTCACCTTTGAACACCCTGATCGAACTTGTTTCAGGACTCAAGAATCCACAGGACCAACATCTCTGCATCCCACACTACTGCCGTCCACTCCCAAAGCACCATGGCATGCTTTTGGGTCCTCTGTTTTGTCCTTTTCCCCTACTCCTGGTCCTATCCCGAAAGCTGGATGCCACTTATAAACCTTACCCACCACATCCTACGTGATGCCAACTCCTCCCTTTTTTCCAACTGCTGGGTCTGCTTGTCCACCCAAACCCAGCGCTCTCTAGCGGTCCCTGCTCCTCTGTCCACTTGGACAGACTCACCCATGAAGCTTCACCTCACCTACTCAGTCAAGCCCTTTCCTGGCTCCTCTCCAATCACCGACATCGAGAGACGCCTCCAACTCTTCCATCCACTGACGGCCTCCTATTCTTTCCACAACCCTGAACGACGGGCCATTGCTTTTCTTCAGCTCGTCAGCTCAACAGGCATATTCCCCATCATTACCCGGCTCACCTCTGTGATATACCCTGAGAAGGACCACTTCTTCGAAACCGCCCAACGCCCTTTATGGGGACCACTCTTCACTGAGACTCTCCTCACGTCACAGGCTCCTCTCTGCATATCCCGCTTCTTCAAGGTCTCGGCTTATGCCACCTTTGTAGGCACCCTCTCTGCCTCTCTCTGCAACTATACCCTTCATATAGCACCTTCCACTAGTCATGAAAACCTAGATCTGTCCACCATCCATCCATTCAAACAGGCAATGAAAAGACCAGATGCCAAGTGGAAAAATCCACTCCGCTTTTCGGGACCCCCCTCCCTCATCTCCACAAAACCTTCTTACTATGCCTGCTCAACAGACATGAAACACTGTCACACCTCCCCAGCCACTCCCTGGATGCGCTGTCCTCTCTCTCCCTCGGGTACCTGCTACAATGTTACACTATTTGAATCAGGCAATTTAACCCACCCTGTTACTGTGTCAGTGAACCCTACCTACTTCAAGATCAAACTCCAGGGACAGAGGGACCCCTATCCACGCTCCCACTACCAGCCCCTCACAGGAGCTGCCCTATCTGGACAATATTCTGTCTGGGAAAATGAGGTCACTATTCACGAAAACTGGGCTGTTACTTCAAACATATTCTCACACCTTCTTACCTTCTCATACGCCTTCTGTCTCAACTCTTCAGGAGTTTTCTTTCTCTGTGGAACATCAACTTATGTCTGTCTCCCCGCCAATTGGTCTGGGGTCTGCACCCTTGTCTTCCAATACCCAGACATTGAACTCCTCCCCAATAACCAAACGGTGCTCGTCCCCCTTTTCGCTTCAGTTCTTTCCTCAACCTCAGCTTCTCGCCCCAAGCGGTCCCCTCACCTCCTCCCCTTCCTTGCAGGCCTGGGTATCTCTTCTGCCCTTGGAACCGGCATAGCTGGCTTGGCCTCCTCGATTTTTTATTTTCAACGGCTTTCTAAGGCTCTTTCGGATACCCTGGATGAAATAGCTGCCTCTATCACTACCCTCCAGAACCAAATAGACTCGCTCGCAGGTGTTGTTCTTCAGAACCGCAGAGCTCTGGACCTCATCACTGCCGAGAGAGGGGGCACCTGTCTCTTCCTCCAGGAAGAGTGCTGCTTCTATGTAAACCAGTCTGGAATAGTCCGAGATGCGGCAAGGAAACTCCGAGAACGGGCGTCAGAACTTGGCCAACATTCTGACTCTTGGGGACAGTGGCCAGACCCTGGATACTGGCTTCCATGGCTGACTCCCTTCCTGGGACCTCTTCTGTTTGTTTTCTTCCTACTGATGTTTGGGTCTTGCCTTCTTAACTGCCTAACCCGTTTTGTGTCACAGAGACTTGGCTCCTTTGTGCAGGACACCACCAACAGGCATATGGACAGAATTCTGCAAAATTTCCAATATAAAAGACTTCCCCAAGACCCCCCAGATGAAGTCACCACTCCTATGTAACAGGAAGAAATTGTGAGAGGCCAACTATGCCATCCTGTCTACCCAGTGAACAGAAACGAAGTCAGGAGTGTTAGTCATGGCCACAGTGTTTTGTATCAATGACCATTCCAGAAACTCAAGTAATTTGGCCTTCAGAACTAAAACTACTTATTTTTCCAGATCCAAGCCCTTTCTGCCTTACTCCAAGCCCTTACTCCCTCCCGGAGATGTGGACATGAGAAATAGTTCTCTATCACCTGATATTCTTAACTCCACCACTCAACTTAGCTTCTACATTATTCCTAGAAATGGCCAAGTGGAGGCCAAAGAAGGAACCTTTTCAACGCCCCGGTCTATAAATGGAGAGTAGACTTTCTAGTTTCTTATTCTAGAGATCTCTGTTCCCAAGGTCTGTTGTGTCATGGAGTGGCTTGTTCCCCTGTCTATTCGCTTTCTGATCTCACACTAAGAACATCAAGGTGGCAGGGAGTTTCCAACAGTTGGAAGGGGCTAGCAAGGCCCTTCTTTTCTGCTTTCAGAGAGAGTAAGACACTGTAGTCCCCTCAACCTTGGACTTTACCCTTCATAAGATAATAAACTTCTCTTGTTTCAAGCTGTTTCCCCTAGAAGCATTTTGACATAGCAGGCCCAAGACCCTAATCAACTCTGAGCTGTAGGTGTGGTAGAATATTCGGGTGGGGCTGCCTGGGAGTACATGGCCCAGGCCTGGAGAGCAGAGGTTGGGGTAGGATGCAAACTGAGCTGGACTTGGTAAGTGGGATGGGCAAGAGGACCACAGGGAAGGGAGGGAAGAAGGACAGAACCCAGAGAGGAGCGAGGAGTAGAGTGGGCGGGATGCAAGAGTGGAAAGCAAGGGAGGAATTCCACAGGTGGCACCTAGAAGTCCATGCTGGGGATGTCACCAGAGTTGTTGGGGGCAGAGTTGGGGCCCTAGCAGTACTAACAAACTAGGTCTGGCCAGCTGTCCTCAATAGGCCTATTTTCATCACAATAATGGTGAAAAGCAGAAAAAGACTTATTCAATGTGGCCCCCTCCCTCCCCAAGTCCATGTTCTGGGTCCTGACATGAGCTTTAGGTTTAAATAGAAAGCAAGAGGTATACATAACTAAACAGTCTTGTGGTTACAGTCTCACTTGTCACCTTGTCCCAGTTTGTCTCTTCTGCTAGGTGGCCTGACACATTGCCATAGCTGTGTGACATCTCTTCCCAAGAGGCAGATTTCTCCTAGCTGGCACCCAGGCCACAGCCATTCTTTTATCAGGAGTGAGACTTCTGGGGAGATCCAATTTCTTAAGAATCCTTTCAACAATCTGATAGGAAAATGAAGAGGTATAGCCCCCCCCCTTTAGAATACATTCACTCCTCCCAGGACAGTGACAGGAGCTGGGGGTCAGGACCTGACTTGGAATTGAAGTCATCAGTGAACCTTCTAAGACTGGGAACCCACAGAAAATTGCAGGGGTTAAACATGTTACTATGCAGGGTTTTGAAAAGTGTGCCATAAAGGAGGGAGGCAGAGGAGGTAACCCACCTTTCCAGAACTTCGGCAAGGAAGACGGGGATTGGCAGCAGTTTAAAGTGTGAAGCTGGGAAGAGAGACTTTACTAGGTAAAGGAGGCACCAGTATATTGGTGGAGACGGGCTGGGAGGGGGAAATATGGGTGCCAGCTGACATGGTGGACAGCTAGGGTGGCCTGTGGTCCACCATGCAGAGGCACATGCAGGACTTGTTGCAGGCATGGTGCATTCACCGCTTTGTGTCCTGTGCCACCAGCACGGTGCTGACATCCCCTTTGACCACTCTGGGCCTTTAGTCTGCTAGAAGCTTGGCTGTGGAGTGAGAGGAAGGCCCACAGTGGTGCAGAAATATTGGTCCCAGCTGGTGTCTTCAGGTTATGCAGCATGGGGCAGGCATCTCCAGGACCACCTCTCAGCACTTGGGCCTGGCTGATGTCATGTGTCATGGTGACTTGTGGACTTGAGTGGCTAAGGCAGGAGAAGGGGCAGACTCTTGAGAGGTAGAGTAGGTTAACAGGTCCCCTCAGTCTGCTCCGACCCTTACCCAACACCATCTGTGATCAAAGGAAGCCTGGTAAACGGAGGCAGTTCTGTCCCGTCCTGTGTTCCCCACCCCAACCCCAACCCCGGCTTCATTTTGTCTGTTTCTTTTTCTGTGTCTTGGGGAAACTTATCCCCGAGGATGAGTCACAGGTCAAGTATCTGTAAATAGCTCTGTCCTTGGAAAAGCAAGGGATTCTGGGATTATAGGGACAGATATGTGCTGTTGTGAGGGACTGTGTATGTTCAGAGGAATCTACCAATGTGTTCCACTCAGTGTGTGGCTAAGTATCCATGGGTGTGGTCTACAGAGGAAGCAGGCCACTTCAGAGGTCAGCGCCGCATTGTCAGTAAACCAGAGCTGGCACAGGTCTCTGAGCCAAAATGAGAGGCTGAGCACCCTGCATACTCAGCGACTTCCTCTTTCTGAGCTAAGCTTGGCTTCCAGTTGGCCTGGGGCAGATGGCATGCTGACTTCTTCAGGCCTCCAATGGTCAGGAACTTTATGCAAGACTCCAGAAGAATTGTCACTGTGTATCTCCTAGCCTGACCCTGGAGTGAATATCTACTCAGCAGCTAGTCTTCTGATTCTGGGTTCCTGCCTTTCAAAGAAAGAGCTGCTTCCTCTGTGCAGGGTGTGTCTAAAACACAGGGTTCTAGGGCTGGAATGTGGACCTTGTTCCAACAGGCCTTCCTCCAAAAGTGGAGATGCAGGGCTGGCTGCTGGATTCCCATGTCTCCCACCACTGGGCCCTTCTACTGCTATGCATAGTATTGGTGGAGGTGTGCATAGCAGACTTCAGGCTAGGTCTCTGAGGATAACACTCAGATGCACATAGCCAAGATGGTTTCTCAAGAGACCAGCTAACTCTCACATCACTGAAGGTGACGGATCAGGAGGTCATATATGAAGCTATCCTGAAGGGCTTGGGAGGCTGCCATCATCACTCCTGGCTTCAAAGTCTCTCAACAACCATGTGTCTGGTGAACAGACACTGCAGTGCTACTGCAGAGAGAAGCCACTGTCCTCCCCGACACCCCTACCCCAAGTGTCTGCAGCCTTCTCAGGGAGCAGGAGACGGCAAGCAGCAGAAGATGGCTCTGGTTGCACTTCTGCCTTCCAGATCTCTCCAGCTCATCTACTGGTAGACCAGCACATCTAGACAGCTAGATGCAAGGGTATCTTAAGAGATGTGGCCACTGCAATTCAGTGAGTATAAGACATACATGGGTACATAGTCCATCGTATAGAGAGGGAGAAAGAAATACTGAGCACTTAGAATAAATGCCCCACAGATTTGCAGTTGGGCCTGATTGAATTCTTTTCATATTTTGATTTTTAATATTTACTTTTTGTGTGAATTTCATATATAAGTGCTCTAGTTACACAATTTCCCCCTCCTCCTCCTCCTCCATCTCTTTCAGCCTCTTCTCTCCCTCCAACTCCTCTTGTTTTCCCACACTCCTTCTCAAATTCATGGCCTCTTATTTTTTTAAAAAAGATTTATTTATGTGACATATATATATATGTATGTATGTATGTATGTATGTATCTGGAACAAGGCTCTGGAACAAGGCTGGCGGGAAGGCTGCACCCTACATATGGCTGTGAGCAGTGAGATTGAATTTCCACGTATAATGAAAAGAGCTTAAAAGGCATTTTAGAAAAAAAGAACGGAGAGAAGCACAGCTTCTTGGTAGCAGCATTTTCTCAGGTGGGCTCTGTTTTGCTAGTGACAAGCAGAGACTCATGAGGCTCACTGAAGGGAGTTTTCCTGACTCAACATTAAAACAAAACAAAACAAAAAACCCAGCAAGGTTCTTTTAAGAGGCTCTGCTAACAACTGAATGGTGTGCACGAGTATCTGGCAGTGGCAGTGGCAGTGACCACATCTCCAAGCCAGCACCATGCTGATGGATGTCAGCATAGACTGAGGCAATAAGCTGGAGTCAAACTTACACCCGCCATGTTGGAAAGCCAGCGGCTATTTCCGCTTTAATTTTAGCGATGTTCTTTAGCCTATGTAAGACACATAGCCAGAAAAACATACAGTTTTACAGTAAAGTCAGATTCAGATGAAGAAAAACATAAGTAGACTTGGGAGAGTAAAAGAAACAGGATTTGGAAAAAATAAAAATAAAGTAGCTGGGTGTGGTGGCATGCCTTTAATCTCAGCTCTGGGAAGGAAAATATAAACAAAGAGAGTAGCTGGGTATAGTGGCACATGCCTTTAATCCCAGCACTCCTGAGGCAGAGGCAGGTAGATTTCCAAAGAGATACCCTGTCTCAGAGAAAAAAATAAATAAAAGTAAAAGAAATAGAGTAATATAAGCCATGTAAAGATGGAAAATACACAGAAAGTCTGGATACTGTATGCTATTGTGTTTTCCAGTTGTTCAGTGGCTAAGGAAGAAATATACTTATAAATGCTGCTGAATTAATCCAACTTATATATTTCAAAAATGCTTTGACCTCTAACTTTAAATATAAGGACTGGTTGCTTGGGAAAAGAGTTTTTGTTTATGTTTCCACAGAAAATGCAAAGCTGTGGATTCCTTCCAGGCTTCTGTGGTTTGATGAACCACGACCCCCGGAAGCAGTGCAGCTAAGATGATGCAGCCTTACAGACCCCGAAAATAAGGACTTATACAGGTTTCTGAGTTTTGTCATGATCCCCATGGTATGAATAGTGAGTGCCCCCATCCAGCAGAAAGCAGTTTGGAATGAGTGACGTTTAAATTCCCATATTGTTTATAAATCTTTGTTTTCATTTAAATGGGGTTGCTTATAATTGGTTAATGATCACAGCCAATCTCTTTTTAATGATAAAAGGGGAATTATGTTATGGAAATGAATACTTAGTATGGATATGGTTTTATCATTTATTGATACAAATTCAAGGTCATTTTGTGATATGTGTATTTCTCCTCTTGATTAAGTATTGTGCTTATACTGATTATAGATAGTTACTTATAATAGTCAGAACTTATAGTTAGGTTAGTTAGGTTTTCTAGATATACAGAGATATATTTGAGATAGATAGTCTTCGGACCTTTGAAAGACCTTCAGAAAATGGCATTTAAAATGGTTTAGTGTTTTTCTTGACAATGAAAAATGTCTGTTCCTGGTACATCAATTATGTCTGAGAGAAAGATGGGCATCGAAGAAACTTGTTATGGAGTTTGCTTTCAACATGGCAAGATTAGTCTTTTGGGCAAGAAACTGTTCTTGCCTAGACTGTTTGACTGTTGCTGTATAAACTGGACATGCAGGATCCACAGGAAAGTGACTGCTGAACTCAAACAGTACTTCAGGGTTCCTGATTCATGGAAGAGTCTACAAGACTTTCTGCATGACACAGAAAAATGAATGACAGACTGCCAATGCAGATGGACTGTTTGAAATTTCCTGCTTTGCTGAGAAGTCTTCTGGACACATTGTGGCCTTATGGGTTTAAGATGGATGCCCCAATGTTACAGAGGAACTTTGGGTGGCTGTCCAGGTAGTGAGATGTCTCTGTCAATCCTAGTGTTTATATATTATCCTTCTGTGATCTTTGATGGAGTTGAAGGCAGATAGTTATCATCATATTTTCCTTAGTTATGATAAAAGATTAGCTACATATAAGACTTGAGACTCATACAGATAGGATAGATGATAAAATACTTTCTTTAAATCTTACTAAATGTTAATGAACAAAATATTGTAACTATATTCTTACTTGATAACTGTTTTGTTATATATACTTTGTTAAAGTTAAAACCTCTCTTTTATTTAGACAGAAAAGAGATGATGGGAGATGCCATTCTGTAAATCTGCCTCTAATTGGTTGTTGAATAAAGCACTGTTGGCCAGTAGGGAAGCAAGATAGGTGGGACTAGGAGTCGAGGAGGAGTCTGGGAAAGAGAAACACATGGAGTCATGATGTAGCTGCCATAGGAATAAGAGGTCCGGACCCCTTTCTCTGGTAAGAGAAATACTTAGATTAACAATTATGGGGTAAATACTTAAGTCAGAGATAGCCAGTAAGAAACCAAGCCAATGACCAACAGCTTCATAATTAATATGGACTCCTGTATGCTCGTTTGGGACTGATGCGGCTCTGGAACAAGGCTGGCAGGAAGGCTGTACTCTACACACAACCTGCTGAGTTCATTTAGTGTTGCTCATATGTATTTAGGGTTAACCTCTTTGGGACTGATAGCCTATTGGGGGCTCATCCCGGGAGACGACTGCTTCTCCCTCTCTTAGCAACCATTAATTGCTTGTAGTTCCTCATCTAGGGCTGGAACCTTGGGAGAATTCCCCCATCCGTGTTGTCATGTCAATAGGTGGTGTCATTTTTCAGGTCTTGTTTAGGCAACCATATTGTTGCAGTTTCCTAGGTGTTACTTCCCTGTCTTACCGAAGACACTGTTGCCGGGAGGTGGTGGTATATGCCTTTGATCCCAGAATTTGGGAGACAGAGGCAGGTGGATCTCTGAGTTCAAGGCTAGCCTGGTCTACAGAATGAGTTCCAGGACAGTCAGGGCGATACGGAGAAACCCTGTCTCAAAAAACCAAAATCAAACAAACAACAAAACAAAAACTAAGAAAAAAAAACTCTCTCCCAGCAGATGTCCTGGTCCTCTGGTTCTAATAATCTTTCTGTCTCCTCTCCCTCCATGTCCTGTGAGCCTTAGGTATAGGGACGGTGTTGTAGATGTATCAGTTGGGGTTGGGTACCTCATGGTCGGTTGTTCTTTGCAATTTGACAAGCTGTGGTTTTCTGTAATGGTCTCCATCTGCTTCAAAGAGAAACTTCTTTGATGAGTGGTGAGCGTTACACAGTAGTGAATTTTTAAAGAAAAAAATTAAAAATCTTTTGACTCTGAGGATTACAGTCATATTCCCATTTGCAAGAATCTCTTTTTAAAAAAATCCCCAATAATATTCTTAGTCACTGGTAAGCTGAATTCCTTCCATCAATGCCACTGTTGCAAATTTCAAAGTTTCCCATTTCCCATTCATTGGGTGGTATAAGAATCCTTTCATTTTTCAATCACAGAAATAACATTAGCAGAAATCTGAGAAACAAGTCACAAGTCATTTCACTTTTATTTCTGTGCACATTTTGGGAGTGTAATGGCCACAGAACTGTGCTTTGCTTTCTTTTTTTACCCAACAGTATCTGAATCATTTCCTTTTTGATTGCCTAACAGAGCCACGGTTTTTAGGGGCTGTGTAATATTTCTCTAATACACATCATCACTTCTTCATTTCCCCTCCTACTGAATATTTAGATGGCTTCTAGAAATGATGCTTTCAAAAGCTTTATGTGTGTCTCAGGCCTCTATGTCTCAAATCCAGAAGTGAGACAGGGGGGTCATATGTATTGGCTGAAGGAACCCATTTTTATGTATATGTGACAGGGTCTCACACTGAACTCAGGCTGGTCTGGAACTCACGATATAGCACAAACCGGCCTCAGACTAGTGGCAATCCGCCTTGCCTCATACTCTTAATCGCTGGGATACACCCTGTGAGTGTCAACAACTTCTGATCACCAGTTCTTAAACACTATCGTTGTCCAAAGCCAAGCCACCTTTGTTAAACAGTAATCTGGTAACTGCTTTCCTAGTCTTGGGATTCACCTGAAAGCTACTAGGACAGCTACCCAGGACTGGAAAATAGTGCCCTTGACCTTGACACCTTTATTGTCTTCTTTTAGTGTGCCCATCACTGAATCTCAGGATCCCTGAGAGCTGCTTGCTAGTGGCTGACCTGAAGCCTGGCAGGCCCAGTATGGACAGGGTCTCCCCAACCCTTGAATATCTCATTGCTCTGTCTTGTTGCCCAGAAGTTTTCTCTAGATAAGTGAGGGAGGCCCAGGCTCTTCAGATTAGCCCTCAACCCTGGAATATGTCCTACTGAATGTAAGGATGGAGTCTTCCAGAAGCAGACAGACCTCTGCTTTTTTATTTCTACTCTTAATGGAAGTAGGCAATGGGAGTAGGATGGAGCGAGGCAATATTAAAATAGTAAAGCATCCTGGGCTCCGATTCACTGAAGGAGCCGGAGAGGTGGCTTTAAAAGAACAGTCTTAAAAGACTGGCAGACTTTGTTGCAAAGCTTTATTCAGTCACTTGTGCACTCTAGCTTAATATCATCAGCTAAGGACCTTACAAATACAAAGAAAATGACCCAGCGATGGGTTCTGTTATCTTGGTCAATCCAGGATAGGGTGGACTTGGATCTTCAAAAGAACAGGAGGAACACACTTAGCCTTTTGTTATTTTCAGAAGAGAAACAACACTGCCCAATCCATGAAGCTCTCTCCAAGCAAAGTTGACTAGAAGGGGAAACCTTGAGTGTTAACTGTTCACTCCTGGAATGTGCCTTAGTGGAACTCCAAAGGTGCACCCACTGATAGCGTCCACCCATCATGCTTCATGATTTACATTGCTAGTAACTATCCTCCCCTCCTACCAGATCCCGGGTCTTAGGAATGCTAAAGCTGGGTGAACAGTGTCTGCAAGACCACCGGTTCCGGGAGCAGCCCCTGCTCCTTATCTTGTAGCTCTGGGCTGACTCTCCCCAGGGATACAATTGTCCTTTGCAGATGGTCACTAACCTCTAGGTAGCACAACTTCCCGGGACACCCCAACGTAGGCTCTCGCCCCCATCCGGTTGCTTGGAAATGTGCAGCGGGCTGCGACGTCACACAGGGAGGAGGGTGCCAACTGCCGGGCGCACCAATAACACGGCCACTGCCGGCCTCTTCTTCTCCAGCCATTGGTGCTTCGGGCCGCTCGGCTCCACCCCAGCCCGCCATGGCGTCAGCCGTCGCAACCCGGGGGGAGGAGGTTCCCACTTTAAGAAGTGAAGTTTTCCTCCCCCTCCCCCTTCTGCCCACCTCCTGCTGCCTCCCGCGCCCCGCGGGGGCTGCGGATGGAGCTCCGCCGCGGCGTGGGGAGCCAGGCTGCGGGCCGGAGGATGGATGGGGACTGCCGCGATGGCGGCTGCGGCAGTAAGGACGCCGGGTCGGAGGACTATGAGAACCTACCGACCAGCGCCTCGGTGTCCACCCACATGACAGCAGGAGCGATGGCTGGGATTCTGGAGCACTCCATGATGTACCCGTTGGACTCCGTGAAGGTGAGGCACGCGAGGACTGTGGGGGAAAGGAGCCGAGAGTAGCCGAGCGCGTGCGTGTTTGCATCCCGCGCAGCGCTAGTCCCAGGGCAGCGCGGCGAAGCCAAGCTGCGGGTCCCTTGGGGCGCGGCGACATGCCAGGGATCTCGCCCCGATTGGGCGCGTGCAGCCCTGGCTCCGGGAAGCGCCGCATCGCTCCTTCCGAGATGCCTTGGTGGAGTGTTGCAGATCCTGCCAGGAAGCCCCGCACTTTGGTCCACGCCGCGCCGCGGTTGCGGGGTTCAAAGTGGTAAGCACTCCGTGCACAGCGGTGGCTGTGGCCCTGCGCTGTCCGACCGCGTGGGCGCTGCACGTGCGCGGCTTCCTAGCAAGCTGGTGGCCGGGAAGCGCCTCGGAGAAACGCACCCCCCCAACCCCCTTACCGGCCGCGCGCCCTCTGGCCCCGGCGCGGCGCCCGCTGCTCTGGGGTAGTTTAGGGGCTGGGGAGGAGCCAGCGCATATCCCCAGGCTCAGGACAGTTCTTTGGGGATACTGGATCGGTGATACACCATGTGACGCCTCCTTTCCCACCCAATTCTCCTGGGAGTCAGTGGGACCTACAGGGTCGTTTGCTGTGCTTTGCTTGCTGTGAAGCGGACCTGCAAGCTGGTATTCTATGGTTATGGGTTGTGTAATAGGTTTCCAGTCTGACCCGGCCACTTCCCCCTGGTAGTTTCCCATGCGCTTCTGTCAAGAGGCGGCTTGAACAGGTGAGATTCAGACTGTGAGCTGCCAGTGCTGGGGACTGGAGAGGGCCCGCGGGAGATAGAGGAAGTAATACCAGTACCGACTTTTAGGGCTGGAACTCATCTAACACGTGGGGGGGGGGCACCCCTGGGAGTTAACATGAATAAACTGAGGCCCAAGGGAGGGGAGCAGAGGAGTCTTAGCCCCTTGAATTCTGGGCTGCGCCTCCAGTATGCTTCGTGGAACTTGGGGACCTCACTAAGTGGCAGTTGTTTTTTAAGGCAGGGGACCAGGTATGCACACACAAAATAGTACCTTATTGCTGATGTGGGCCACACCCGAGCAGGTGTGAATATCTGGGTTTTCTCAGAGCTGGCAGTCAATGGCTGGACAGGCCAAGTCCAGTGAGAACAGACACTGGGCATAAGGCAAGGCCTGTCTTCCAGCTCGCTGCCAGACATGAGTCATCATTTCTGTCCCTCCTCTGTCCTCGTGGGGAATCATGCAGTCCTCCTCGCTTGCCACTGTTGAGGAACGAGTGAGGGAAACTTAGCTTTGTAAATCACCTCAGAAAGACCCAGCACACATAGTATGTCAAGGGCCATGGCGTTAGTATAGGAAAGAACAGATCAAATGTAGTGACATTTCTGCGGCGTAATGTGTCTTGGTTAGAGCCAGGGGAAAGTTAGGAGTTGATAATTTGAGCAGACCCATGGACCTGGAGATGACATTCCATCAAAGGAACCCTTCCACCCGTGAGACCTGGTACCTCCTTGCCATGAATTCTGGTTCAAGGATCACTTTAGCTTTGAAGGTTAAACAATTTTTGATGCCTTTTGATTTATTTGACAGTCAAGGCATTTGTCTCCTCTGTGTAAGTAATGCGCCTTGTGTTTAGTTCTCCCATGCTTTTCCAGTCTGTTTTGATTCAGACTTCACCTGTGTGCTTAGTCTTTCCAAAAAGTTCCCATCTGTGGATGGACAACGTGTGTGTGTGTGTGTGTGTGTGTGTGTGTGTGTGTGTGTGTGTGTGTGTGTGTGTGTAGCTATCTTGATTGTTTTAAGTATTCACTTTATGGGGCTTGCTTAAAAAAGGAAGTTTTTTGTTGCCAGTCAGCAAGTTCTAGGTCTGAGATTTTGATCCTGGCTTTGGTTAGCTCTCAGACCCACAGGCTTGGGTGTGAAGTTTCTTTTGTGTTCCCGTACAACTTTCTTTGGGTGGCAAGGATTTCTTTCTGTCTCTGTCTCTGTCTCTCATTTTCAGCCATGACCAAAAATCACCACAGTTGTCTGTGGCTTGCCGGAGGTGGCAGGGACACAACCGTGCCCCAGTCATGGGAATGTTTGATGTGGAGAAGACAGAAGCTGCGTCCCTCTTAAATATTTTGGATGATGAAGACTGAGTAATTGAGTCAGGAGGCCTGGGTTGGCTTGGCAGCCCTTCAGCTCACTTGCTCTCTGCCTCAGTGTGCCTACATTTTGTTGTGGTGAAAACAGGCACTCCCTTCACCTTTAACCCATCCCCCTTTCTATGGCACACCTATTGTCCTTCCATGTTAATTATTGCAACTGAAACCAAATGCATGTAAATCATATCTTGGGAAGAAAAAAACAAGGTTTTCTTTGATTTTTGAAAAGGCATTCATTTTTTTTCCACTTGGAGCTTGTCATAGGTAAATATGATTGTTGAATCAGCCTGCTTTTTCAGATTTGCTATCCTAGGATGTGTGAGCTGTGGAACCCTGGGCAGGTCCTTTGTAGGTCTAAGTCTGCTGAGCTCTCTGGTTTTGTGGTCTTAAGTACAGTAAGAGGACTTACGGATGTTTACTGTTCTAATACTGAAGTTGCTTTTTCATGAGATTCTGTCACCTCCCAATGCTACTTTAATGTCCAGTGTTTTTCAAACTGTGGGTTTTGATCCGCTAGTGGGCTGAGCATTTGACAGACAGACTGGTGACAGTATTGTCTATAAGTATAAGCAGGTATGGCTTTGGCAGGAAGAAACCCTGTTGAAGTTCTGTTTGGGTCATGGTTCCCCAGAGCCTGTGAAAAAGCTGGACAGGCCAGATAGTACATGCGTTGGTTCCTAACACTTAGAAACTGAGACAGGAGGATAGAGAATTTGAGGTTAGCCTGAGTGAGTTCAAGGCTAGCCTGAGCTACCTAGCACAACTCCATTTCCAAACTAAGTGTGAGCATCATAGGATCTGATGGTCCTTAATTTCTCTCTGATTCCCCAGCAGCAATAGCCCGAGGTTATTTAAGTTCCTACTGGGAAGACTTGCATCAGTTTTTCCAAACTTTTCTTCCCTTAGTCTTCACAGCCTGTGGTAGATGCTGATGCTTCATTTAAAGATAGACTGGTGGTACCGCTGAGTGTCCCCATGACTGTAGCAACCAGCAGAGGGACCCAGGATGCCTGGGTGTCTGCAGGCTCTTGTCCAAATGTGGCTTCTCTCTAATCTGGGCTTGGCAGGAACCTTTAACTGGTGGCAAGTGGAATGGTGGCTTGGACTGGCCTATGAGGTGGACGGACGAAAGAGCCCATGGTCAGAAGTGCTCAAGACTGTAGGGCGAATGCCAGGTGGGTGGAGGAGGAAATTCCATCCAGATTAGGCAGAGACCACGAAAGTCAGCTTGGTAAGCACAGGGAAGAAAGGAAACAGGAAAGATTTGAAGTGGGGGAACCTCCGCTGACCCTTTCACAGACCTGCTTGTCGAGAAAGCACTGCTCTAACTCTTCCTGGGTGAGCCCTCTGTCCGCCATGAGCGGGTAACAGTTCTCCAGGTGGTCCTTGTGGGCATCTTGTGGGGGATGGCCTTGGCATGGCCACCACTTGGCCTGCCTTCTGGGACATCCCACAGCCCTTGAGTTTTTTTCTGGTTGACTGGCAGAGAGTGCTAGCGGCTGCCAGAGCCCACCTCCCACTTCCTCATGCTTTAGAACACAGTGTAGGACAGGTGATACCAGTTCAACTTCTAGAGGCCATGAAATCCCAAATCACGCTATTCCCAGGAGCAAAATGATAGTGTTTCCCCTCTCTACCCGTGTCTGCCCTTCCCTGCCCTTCACTGAGAGGCACGTTTGGACAGGTGTGTTATAAGCAGACATGGAGTCAAAAAAGGGTTCTCTTCAACTACATTTCTTCCCTTCTTTTCACGACACCCCAGTGCATGCTGGTGACCGACTGTATCTCCTGTTGCAACTTGACCCCCACACATTCATTTCCTCTGTTCAGGAATGGAGAGGGACAGACTGGGTGGGACTCAAAGGTTGGAGGATAGCACCCAGAACAATAGTGAGTTGTGGAGGGGACTCAGCATTAAAAAGAAAATAAGTTACTTACTTTTAAATTGATTTTAAAAACTGAATCATTAACTTTAATTGGTTAATTAATTTATATAGACACAGTATGTAGCCCTGCGTGGCCTGGGACTCACTGTATAGATCAGGCTGGCCTAAAACCCACAGAGATCAGCTTGACTGCCTCCTGAGTGCTGGGACTAAAGGTGTGCACCACCATGCCTGGTGTCTTAGTTCGGGTTATTGCTATGACCGAACACCATGGCCAAAGAAACTTGGGGAGGAAAGGGTTTATTTGACTTACACTTCCACAGCACTGTTCATCCATCGAAGGAAGTCAGGACAGGAACTCAAACAGGACTGGAACCTGGAGGCAGGAGCTGATGCAGATGCCATGGAGGGTGCTGCTTATTGGCTTGCACAGCCTGCTTTCTTATCCAACTCAAGACCACCAGCCCAGGGATGGCACCACCCACCATGAGTTGGGCCCTCCCCCATCAGTCACTGAGTAAGAAAATGCCTTACAGTTGGATCTTACGGAGGCATGTTCTCAATTGAGGTTTCCTCCCTTCAGATAACTACAGCTTGTGTCAAGTTGACATAAGATTGGCCAACGCCTGTCCACTCTAGCTTTTTAATATGGAGCGGTGCTTGAGGTTTTTTTATTTTTTATTACTGTGCCTGGGTATGATGTGTGAATGTGGGCATGGCCATGGTGGGGTGCACATGTGGAGGTCAGGGGACAACTTTGTGAAGTCAGGTCTCTTCCCTCCACTTTTGTGTGGGCTTAGGGGATGGAACTTGCATTGGCAAGCACTTTACCTGCTGAGTCATCTTGTCTTCTGTGCATTTAGAGTTTAATGGGGATGTGTGTGTGTGTGTGTGTGTGTGTGTGTGTGTGTGTGTGTGTGTGTACACTAATTGACTGTGTTTCTTTAGTCACAGAGGGGCAAGTGTTCAGAGCTTGAGGGAT